ACGCTTTTATCACAATAATACTAGTACTTTTCCTACATTATTGTTTTAAGCTTATTATAAAAATTATTTTTAACTTTTTAGATCGATGTGCTTTAAAAGCGTGTTTTTTAGTATTTTTAAACTATATTTATTAAAGTCGAAAAAGTAATTTTTAAATTTGAGTTAGCTTAAATAGCCAATTTTATCAAGCGGCGAAAGCAACGAACAGGTACCGAGTCGGTAACACTTGTGTTTTTCATGCTTACGGTACGAGGTTCAAATCCGTCTCTGGCTATTAATATTTTGCATTTTTTTTGAGTTAGAATAAAAGTTTCAATTCATTTGATCTAAATGAGATAAATCATTTAGATTCAATTAATCAATAAATATAATGGTTCTTATCACTAAAGTCTCCCCTCGTGAGAAGAAATTTATATTCATGTTAATATTATTTCACTATGTGGTTCTTTTTGTGGCTACGATTTATTTTGCCAACCATCACTAGACCTATTTCAACGATACGTCAAATGATTACAATTCGTATTTAGTTTGAGTTATTACTCTTAAAAATCGAAAAAATATTCCTTATTCGAATAAAAAGTAGCTTAACCAACTTTTTCCATACAAACAATTAAAATCATTATTTCTAGNAAGTAGCTTAACCAGCTTTTTCCATACAAACAATTAAAATCATTAATTTTTAATATTCTTAAAGTATTTATTGTCGAATTAGATTTGATATGATAAAAGTATTCAACTACAAAAGTAAATAATTTTACTTTGTAATTTATTAATTTTTCAACTCTATTTGTGTGTGCTACTACCAGTCTATAATATGCCAAATTATTAAACGCTATCTTTTCATGATTACTGTGTATACATATGATGATAATGTGTATACATTACAAACTTGGCATTAATACCATGATAAGAAATTAGATAAGGCAATTATTACTTATCACTCTCATTCAAAATTATATTGAAAAGATAGCGTTTTCTTCTGTCCTTTTCTCGATACGTATTTCAATGTTTAATACCGTAAAATA